GCTTGCCTGCCTGAGCGGAAAGAGCCGTAGAGGATTTGCTGTGTGGACTGGTGATGCTGGAGGGGCCCCAGCAGGACACGGGCTAGCTTTGCGCAGGATTGCGGAGCACCGTTGCTTTTTCCATGGGAGTGTGCGCTGCCCTTGTCAGCTGCGATAAACCCTGTCTGCAATGCCCAGCACGCTCCAGCTCCCCGAATCACAGAGCTTTCAGGGTCCCACAGGTAAACCAGGCCCTCCTGGTACAAACCCACGCTCGGCTGTCGCTTCTTCTGCCCTGACCATTTTGTCCCCGCAAGGCTCCCCACTCTTGTTTGTCCCTTCCCATTTGCCTCTTATTTTTGTTTTGCCTCTGAGAAACTTCCATCCCCCTTGCAGACCAGCCGGAAGAAGCTCTTTCTCCTGGCACCCACCGACTGCCTTAGCATACTAATAGTTTGCTCAAAGCACAGTTATTCAGGTTAAATACTCCCCATTGTCCCTCATCTCGTGGGTAAGCCCAAAGGCACCCCGTCCAGCCAAAACACACGCAGCGAGGCATGCCATGGTAAAGCACTTTTCATAGAGGCAACGCCATAACATCACCCAGACTTGAGGGCTGGATCCCCCAAACTCCTCACACTTGTCTAGCACTGACCGTGCCCGGGCTCCCGCAGTGCCTTTGGGCACCCTGCTCGCCCACTGGGAAGGGCCGACGCCGGTCAGGGTGGAAGGGGCAGAGCGACCTGCTGCGAGGCTTTGCAAGGGTCAGGAGTGGCTGCTGCTAAATCAGCTAAGGCACAGGTGAAGCCGTGGCTAGGCTGGGTTCAGGGTCTGGGAAAGCAAATGTGCGTGGTGAGGGGAGGACGAGCCGCCTGTGTCCTCCCTCAAACTTCAGCTGCTCCAGAAAATTTCTCCCGTGCCCTTGGCGCCTGCTATTTTCAGCGCGGAGGTGACCCTCTTTCACATGTCCCCCAAGGACGCCGTTTCTCCAGGGGCCACAGATGAGTCAGAAAGCAAATTAAAAAATCGCTGGGTTTCCCGGAGCGTGCAGCACGTTGGGCAGGTGGAGTCCCAAATACGCCGCGCGGCCCAGCGGGGATTTTGGGGAAGGGAGCGGTCGCTCAGCGGGATATTGGGCACGAGCTCCTTAGCTCTGGGTGAGGGAAACCCCTGGCCCCGGGGGGGTGGCGGATGAGCCCCCCAGGGCCCCCGGAGCAGCCGTCCACGCCGGTCTC